GTGATGGATAGATCAAACCATACGTCCTTTAAATTGGCATATCTTGCAAACGGGTTAGATGGTTCTGAGACATTTGAAGCCGACCACCAAGTTGTATTCTTTGTATCATCATCATAAGCTTTTTGCCCTAGACAAGTTAATTCTCCTACAGAAGTATTATACATCATTCCTTTCCTCGCTATGCAAACATAACCTATGATGGAGGTCTTCAATCTCCACTCAGATTTACCTCTAACACTCATATGATAGTCGGCTTGTGTAGATATTAATTGGTCAACTGCCTCAGAACCGGACATTACCTCCTTTGCTTCCCAAGGCCATTGGTCTCCCATGTTAGTACCTCCACACACATAGCAGTTGGTAACATTAAGACTACCGGCAATACTCTCGGCTAAATCAATGAACAAGTTTTAGCATTATGGGGGATCTTATTATCTATGCTCATCTCTTCATAAAAGGAATGGTATACTTGATGAGTTTGGGAGGTTACCGTATCAGTCTCTATCACTATAAACAATATTGTCCCAGGGTCTAAACCCGTCCCATATATTTGAAACCCAAATAAATTACCATATTTATCTAAGAACTTGTCAGGGTTATTTATAAGTATATGGATTGGATTGCATTCCATAGACTTACAATATGGATTAGTAAGCAACTTAGTCACAATCATGTCCTTGTCTGCTGTCTGTCCCCAAGTCGCCCACCCCACACAAGACCAATATGGGCAGAAGTTATAATCTCTATTTGGGCATCTTGGACTTACATATTTATTTTTACTACTGGGACAAATGTATTTATCGTTAGACCCATACGTCCTCTCCCATCTAAGATCCCCACATACATTCCACAGCTTTCTACCACTTGATATTGCTTTACACGCATCAAATAGCAGAGCACCTGAAGAATATACGGATTTTAATACCGTCTTATTAATTAGGGTCCCCTGAGAATCTCCATTTCTGAGAGTCAACCAAATTGTACGGGGTTGATACTCAGGACTGAAGCCCTTAGGTTCTCCTACTCCTAAATGACACACACTATATTCTATATTTAAGTATCTACATCTTGATACATCTCCTTTACACTCATATTGCGAATGCCAAATTAGGGTCTAGGATATATGGTTACCTGTTCTTGTAGTCTTAATGCATACCTCACAGCTAGGAGTGTTGGTACCTCTACCTTCCTGAATATAAAAATACACATAAATAAACATTATTAAAAATACATCTTTCGTCATCATCCTCAGTCTTCGTCCGTGTGAAGGCACCTCAACTTCCAGGATGTAAGGACTGCAGGGAATGGAGTTCTGCTCGTCTTCACAGGGGTCCCCTCAAGACTTTCCCTGACTTATACACTCGTTGGTGAGTGGACAGGCTTTATTATGGCCTTCTCACTCACTTACCAAGTCTCTGAAACAATAAAATTTGTAATCTACAAGGTTTCTCGTCACTCCGACTGAGTCGTGCGTTTTAACCGGATCTTGCAGGGATTCTCTGGATTTGCTGTAACTTGCCAGGAATCGGCTGCTGCTGGTTTAACCCTGGAGTGATGTATCCACGGAGCCACTTCGGCTACTTTTATCGCTGTAGGGGTAGACAGAAGAACAACATAAGGACCTCTCCACTTGGCCCCTAACGGCACATTATTCCACTCTTTAATCCACACTTGGTCGCCTGGGTGGTAACTATGAATTGGGAGATAAATATTCACAGGTAATCTATCTTGTACCCATTTCTGTACCTCCTCCATAGTCTTACCCAACTCTACAACCTGCTGCCGGGTAATTCCTTCTCCCAACTGACTCAAATCCCCCTTTAAGTTACCAAGCACGGGAGGTGGTCGCCCGTACATGATTTCAAAAGGAGAGAGGCCCATCCTTCTGGTAGGTGTACTACGGATTCGCAATAGAGCTATGGGCAAGAGAACGTTCCACTTAAGTTGGGTTTCCTGACACATTTTAGCCAACTGATTCTTAATAGTTCTATTCATTCTCTCTACCTTACCAGAACTCTGGGGTCTATATGCGTATGAAGCCTCCACTTTATACCAAGCATATGAGTCAGTTGTTGTAGGCACTGATGAACAAAAGCTGGACCATTGTCCGATCCTATAGAGCAGGGTAGTCCATATCGGGGTATTATTTCTCGTAGCAGGAATCTCACGACTTCTCCTGCTTTCTCTGTACGAGTAGGACATGCTTCTACCCAGCCTGAATAGGTGCACACCACTACCAGCAGGTAGCGATGTCCACCCGATTTAGGCATCACTGTATAGTCAATTTGTAAATCGGACATGGGAAGTCCCCCCATAAACTGGACTCCTGGTGGCTTTACTGGTCCTTGTCTTGCATTATTTTTTGCACACGTTACACATCTACGTACAATGGCCTGAGTCAAGTTGGACAATCTTGGTATGTAGAAATGTTTTCTGAGAGATTCTTCTGTACTGTCTCTCCCAGAATGTGTCCCGTTATGATAGTTTTGGACAATTTCTACCGCTAGTGATGCTGGAATAACTATTCTTCCATCTTCTAACTGATACCATTTGTTCTCCAAATACTTTCCAGGTTCAGTCCTTAACCACTCCTCTTCTTGAGCTGTATAAATTGGAGTCCATTGAGACAGTGGAGTTGGTATAAGAGCAGCTATATGCCCACATATTCCTGTCTTCCTGATTCAGCAGCACGCTTAGCTGCACTATCTGCCATCCGATTCCCTTTGGTTACATCACCATCTCCTCTCAGATGCGCCGACAATGTATAATACCGACTTCTTTCGGCTCCCACACTGCTTCCAATAGTTGTAGGATCTCAGCTGCGTATTTGATTTCTTTGCCTTCTGAATTCAATAGTCCTCTTTCTTTATACAAAGCTCCGTGGGCATGAGTGGTTAAAAACGCATACTTGGAGTCCGTGTAGATGTTCACTCTTAAACCTTCAGCCAATTGTAACGCTCGTGTCAGTGCTATCAATTCTGCCTTTTGTGCTGATGTTCCTTTTGCCAGTGGCCGAGCTTCTATCACCTTGTCTATCGTTGTTACTGCATATCCTGCATAGCGGATCCCTTCTTTACATAACTACTGCCGTCGGTGTAATATTGAACATCAGGGTTCTGGATGGGAAAATCACGAAGATCTGGTCTACTTGAAAATACTTCATCCATTACTTCCAAACAATCATGTTGACTTTCAGTAGGTTGTGGCAAAAGGGTAGCTGGATTTAAGGTATTTACAGTCTCTAAATGCACTCTTGGGTTTTCACACAACATTGCTTGATACTTGGTCATACGGCTGTTACTAAACCAATGATTTCCTTTGTAATCCAACAACGTCTGTACTGCATGTGGAACTCGTACATAAAGTTCTTGACCCAGAGTGAGTTTATCGGCTTCAGCTACTAGCAGGGCGGCTGCAGCTACAGCTCTTAGACAAGGTGGAAGTCCGCTGGCCACTGCATCCAGTTGCTTAGACATGTAGGCAACAGGTCTTTGCCATGATCCCAAGTACTGTGTCAATACTCCCACAGCCATTCTTCTTTGCTCATGTACATACGGGTAGAATGGCCGTGTGTGGTCAGGTAGACCTAATGCTGGGGCACTCATCAAAGCCCTCTTCACATCTTCGAATGCCGTTTGCTGTTCTTGAGTCCATAAGAAGGGGTCGTGCTCTGTACCTTTGATAGCTGCATACAGAGGTTTTGCCAGTATCGCGTAGCTGGGAATCCATATCCTACAGAAGCCTGCTGCCCCCAAGAATTCTCGCACTTGTCTTCTATTCCTGGGTATCGGTATTTGGCACACAGCTTCTTTTCTCTCTGGCCCCATAATTCTTTGACCTTCAGAGATATGGAATCCCAGATATTTGACGGTTGGCAAACACAACTGAGCCTTCCTTCTTGACACCTTGTATCCTGCCTTCCAGAGAATGTGTAGTAGATCGTGCGTTGCTTGCTGACATACTTCCTTTGTAACTGCTCCTATCAACAAGTCATCTACATATTGTAATAATACACACTCTCCTGGGATAGACTCGAAATCTAGTAGATCTTGACTTAGAGCTGAACCAAATAGGGTAGGTGAATTTTTAAACCCCTGGGGCAATCTTGTCCAGATCATTTGGCGTTTCGAGCCCGTTACAGCATTTTCCCATTGGAAAGCGAAGATACATTGGCTTTCTGCGGCAATTCGGAGGCAAAAGAAGGCATCTTTGAGATCTAAGACTGTAAAGTAAGTAGCCCCGCCCGGAATTAAGCAAGCAGGTTATATGGATTGGGCACGACTGGATGTATACTAACAACCGCATCATTGACTGCTCTCAAGTCCTGCACAGGTCGATACTCATCTGTACCGGGCTTTTGAACAGGCAGCAATGGGGTGTTCCAGGGGGAAGTACAGAATTTTGGGATACCATACCGTATGAACTTATCCAGATAAGATTGGATGTTCTTCTTAGCCTTCTGCGGAATATGATATTGTCTCAGGCTTACTGGATAAACCCCAAGTTTTAGTTCGATTTTAATAGGTGGAATATTGCGGGCCAGTCCTGGTGGGTTGTTTTCTGCCCAAACTCCTGATATGTTAAATAAGGATTCATCACTCCTCGGGTTTTGGCTAGTCAACACTGTATAAAGTCGCCACTCTTCTTCCTTTGGTACGGACAATGTCATAATACCTGAGGGTCCATTAAACTTTAAGGATGTTGTTCCATTTGGTAGGAGCGTAATCTGCGCTTGTAATTTGGATAGCATATCACGTCCCAGCAATTGGACTGGACACTCAGGCATATAAAGGAATTGATGTTTTACTACGTGGCCTCCCAATGTACAGAGTCGACTTTTAGGAACCGGTTTTTCAGCACTTCTTCCAGTTGCTCCTATTACAGTAATAGTTCTTCCAGATGGAGGAGCAACTTGATTAGTCACCACCGAATGTTCAGCACCAGTGTCGATCATAAGCGCACTCCTTTTTCCCCCTATTGATACATCGACCATAGGCTCCGCTCGACCAAGGGGGATGGAGCCCGGTCGGTATCAATAGTCCTCCATGACCGTGTCAGCCAATCCCACAAAGTCCCTACCTTCTCTATCGCGGGACCTTTGCGCTGCTGGATAGTACCTATCTTCCCTTACACATCCTCTGTTCCCATTACTCCCTCTATTACCATTACTCCCTCCGGGGCCTCCTCTACCTCTCGCTCTGCCTCTAAAGTTTCCGTAACCTGCCCTGGGTAAGTCTCTCTCATACTGCTCTCTTTGCGGACACTCGTTCCTCCAATGCCCTTCTTCCTTACAGTACGCGCACTGATTCCTACTCAAAGGCTCCCTATTCCATCTACCATCGCCTCTATCTGGGCCCCGTCTATCTACGCCTGCGATCGCTACCGCTAACATATCTGCCTTTCTACGCATCTTGCGCTCTTCCTCTTTCTTACTTTCTGTTTCCCTATTCATATATACTTTGTTCGCTACCTCCATTAGTTAGGTGATAGACATACCTGCAAACCCTTCTAATTTCTGTAGCTTGCGCTTAATATCTCCGTAAGCTTGGCTGACAAAGGCGGAGTTTACCATTCGGGAATTATCAGCGTCTTCCGGATTAAGGGGGGTATACAAGCGGTATGCCTCCAATAATCGGTCATAAAAGACACTGGGCGCTTCATCACTTTTCTGAATCACCTCAACTGTCTTCGACATGTTGATAGCTTTCTTCCCTCCGGCTTTCATGCCAGCAATTATAGCATCTCTATAGGCTTTAAGTTGAGCCATATCTGCGCCATTTACATTCCAGTCAGGATCCGTGTTAGGGTAATGTGTTGCGGCCCATGCTGCCGGATTGGCTTGATTTAAAGCACGGGCTCTCTCCTCTAGCGCCTTAATGGCCGCTTGGTTAATCCTTGTCCTTTCCTCATTATTGAACAATGTCATTAATAACTACTGGCAATCAGCCCATGTCGGGTTATGTGTCTGAACTATCGAGGTGAACAGATCGGTCATAGCTTGTGGTTTCTCAGTGTACGAGGAATTGTGGGTCGTGAACGGGACATATACGAAGACTGGGTCAGCATGTGCCATTTGACCTGCGGCATCGATATAGGCTGACCCAGGATTCAGACGAAGAGGCATCTGATAATGTTTTAATTGTTGGGTACCGGTCGGTTGTCGGGTTAGTATGGGGCTACGTGGAGGGGCGTCAGTTAAAGGTTCCGGTCGAGAGGTAATAGGGCATGAGGATGTGGGAACTTGATTTTGGGAAAAGTTAGTGAATAGTATACTCCGAGCAGAGCTAGAAGAAGCTTGACCGGAAGTTTGAAGTGGCGCCAAATCAGGATATTCAGATCTAATGGGGGTTGGTCCTGGTTCCGGAAGGGGAGTTTTAATACGAGGGGGGGTGGATTCTGTACTGGAGGAGGAAGCGGAAGTGGATGGGGGCAATAGGGGAAGGGGCGCAGAGCTTCCTGCATTCGCGTCACTTCCTCTTAAAGGAAAGTAAGGAGGCGGCAAAGGGATCTCGGACTCAGGGGGCGTGTCCAAAATAGGCCTAACACCAGTCCTAGTGGACAAACAAGTCCTGGCCACCATGAGGCGACATTGCTCCTCGTGGCATATCCGAATCCATTTTGGCGAGTCATTTACGGCCTGCCCCCAACAATCAATGTATGGAAACTGTCCGTAAAGTTCAGGCCTACCTGACACAGCCACGTGTACACGCTGTACCAGGGTTGGATCCAAACTGCCACGCGGCGGCCATGCCGCAACCAAAATAGGCCACTCCCTAGTGCACAAAGTGACCAAACATACAGGAGACATTTTAACCCCAAAATCACATGTTTTGAATCCCTTTTTAAAATTCTTTACCATACAACCTAAGGGATCCGAAATCGTTGACTCTGACGCGCCCATACTTATCAATGGAGCGTCGTTGACAACGAATACTATGCACGCGTTCTTATTCAACAGTCACACCCGTTTCCTCTGGCAACAGCACCACGTGGTACAGTTACCAAGTGAAACGTACACAATAACACAATAATCACTCAGGGAATTCCGGTACACACACAGCTGTTACACCAGTCACTAAATAATCAATATTATGCCCTTTGGCGAAACTATACAGTCACCCACGCTATAATTCTCTATATATGAATTACCCGTCTATAACACACCCCAGTAACATCGTCTTTTACTAGTATCGGTTACAGTGCGGTTAGCATAGGTCAAAGCACAATTTAAGGTCACAATACAATTATTAGTGGTTACGGTGTTAAACATGCAATAGACGACAATGATTAGTACTTATATACGGTGTCAGTAAATATACAGGGTTATGGTACCGTGCACTATGATACAGCAACACACTATTAACACTCTCGCTAGACGGCTGAGCTCGCGCTATCTAACAAGATATACACTTTACTAACAATCTTTAACACATTTACAATCCCAACTAAACTATTGGCCAGTACCTTGGATGGACTACCTAAAACTATATACACCCGTTTTGGTTAGCCACACTGCCCAAACACCACATATAGCGAACTAGAGGGCGAAATTTACAAAATTGCCCTTCTGGTCTATTTACTCTATCAAAAGTCTAGTGGGTTCCAAATTTACACGCCTTCCCACTTAGCCAAGATAGGTTGAGAGCTAGCGAACCGAATTTACACAGGCGCCGCTTAGTCTCCCGGTCCCTCCGACCTAGCGAGCGTAATATACACCCTAGAACGCTAGTCTAGACAAGACACCGGTGTCCGGCTAGGGCTATTTACACAGGACCCCGCCTGACTAACCAGATCAAACGGTCTTACTAAAGAGCGTTCGATCGAGCGGTGCGCCTTCGCTCCTTCCCTCCGACAGAGGGGGCAGATTCCATACTCAGATTTAAACCCCTTTTGGGCCTACCGCACAATCGGTATACCCCTAGTGGGTCTGCCGTCTAAAACAGCAGTTGTCTTACCTCCTCGTTCCTGAACCTGAGTTCACACTCATCGACGGGGACACCCCAGCACTTCTTACGTAGAGGCCGATGATCTCCTGGACAACAGACCAGTGGCGCCGAGGCGAAGGGAGGTCCACGCAGAAGTTCAGGGGTGCAGCCGTAGAGAACGTGGGCAAAGATAGACCGTCTCACGCCTCTGCCTCTCAGCTACCGTTGAACGATGAGCTTCCCGGCCAATGCACCAAATGATACCGGAGAAATTGACGGAAGCAAAGCACAGAGGAATGGACACAGGTTTCTTCAGGAAGGAAGAGATTCTTTATTGGATCACCGATCGGGACTCAGAGGGACTAATGTCACCAAAAATACAGCAAGTTCTGAGCCCTGAACAATAGTGCAGGCTCCCTATATAGGCACATAACCCCTCCCATATTAAACTCCACCCGCACATTCTCTTGACCAATCATTACAAATAAGAATTAACTTCCTGCTTGACCGCATGGCTTGTCCAGCACAATGGAGGAGGGGAATACTACATCCTGTATTCTTGCGCATGCTCCGTACACTACTGATCGTATCTTGCCTCGTGCAACCAACTGATCGATACGTCAGCATATGCACGTACACATGCCACGTGGTAATCTCGGCCTACTAAATTTATTTTTACCGAGATTCCACCACAACACCTCCCTGCATGTGACTTGCACAGCCTTCCATTAAAACTTCCTGTAAAGAGAGCCCTATTTAGGCTTTCTTTATTGCGAGTTCTGTTTAATTAAGATTTTCTTATCCCCTGCTATGTTTTTTTTTTTCTTCTTTTTTTGTGAATATATATTTTATTAGGTGTTTCCAGTATTTCAATTTCAGTTGTATCAAATCATAAAAAGGCATTTATAGGGACACGCAGGTCCCAGCAATTGCACTTAGTGCTTATCGCCTTAGAACATAAAAGGAAAACAGAAAAAAGGAGGGGGAGGGGAAAGAAAATACATTCAAGTAAACAGGCAGTGGTGACACGCAGGTCGCCTTTTAGAACACAAATAACATTTACGTGGTGGACTCGCAGGTCCTATGAGATGTAAACAGTGGGTGGTACTTACACATGCTCTATAGGGTGACAATGTGGACACGCAGGTCCTGTTCCACCTAACGGTAGTATTCGCGGCAGGAGGTAATGGTCACTGTTTGTGTTTCATTGGCTTTTGTCGGTCTCGACCTGGTGCCATAAGGTATTATATATTATATGGTGGGCCTACTAGTCCCCCTGTCCTGTATGCGTGCTTGTACCACTCTCCCGCATTTTATGTTGTCGCCTGTTGGACAGGCGTCTACTCGTTGGACTCGCTGGTCCCAGAGCTCCTTTGAAGTTGGTCCTACATCAGTTTTATTGTGATGTGGCCGGGATCCCCTGCTATGTTAATAGCTTGCTAGACCCTACAAGAGCCTCCTGTATGTGATTAAAGTTCAATTTAGAGATTGAGATACAATTATTTAAGGTAAATTACATCTGTTTGAAAGTGAAACCAGTTTTTTTTTCATGCAGGCTCTGTCAATCATAGCCAGGGGAGGTGTGGCTAGGGCTGCATAAGCAGAAACAAAGGGATTTAACTCCTAAATGACAGTGAATTGAGCAGTGAAATTGCAGGGGAATGATCTATACACTAAAACTGCTTTATTTAGCTAAAGTAATTTAGGTGACTATAGTGTTGGTCCTTAAGGGGTTAAACATCTGTACCAGGCTTCCCCAAACTCTGGCCCTCCAGATGTTGCTGAACTACAACTCCCATGATTCTTAGCCTATCTATTTCATTCATAGAATCATGGGAGTTATAGTTCAGCAACATCTGGAGGGCCGGAGTTTGTGGAAGCCTGATCTGTACTAACTCTGATAAAACCACTTCTTCAGGCCGAGAATTCCACATTGTTATTGTTCTTACAGTAAAAAAAAAACCCCAAAAAACCCAACCTTTCCTTTGCCTTAGACTAAATCTTCTTTCTTCCAGTCTAAACGCATGACCTCGTGTCCTGTGTATAGTCCTGTTAGTGAATAGATTTCCACACAATGGTTTATATTGGCCACGGATATGTTTGCATATTTGTATAATGTTATCATATCCCCTCTGAGGCAACATTTTTCTAAATTAAATAGTTTTAAATTTGTTAACCTTTCTTCATAGCTAAAATGTTTCATTCCTTTTATTAATTTTGTAGCCCTTCTCTGCACTTTTTCTAGTGCCATAATATTCTTCTTTATAACAGGTGCCCAAAATTGCACAGCATATTCAATATGTGGTTTTACCAGTGATTTATAAAGAGGCAAAATTATATTCTCATCCCAAGAATTAATGCCCTTTTTAATGCACGACAATACCTTACTGGCCTTGGCCACTGCTGATTGACATTGCACATTGTTGCGTAGTTTGTTGTCTATAACAATTCCCAAGTCCTTTTCGTGTGTTGTTATCCCTAATTCGCTTCCATTTAGGGTATAAGTTGCTTGTGCATTCTTTATGCCGAAGTGCATAACTTTGCATTTTTCTACATTAAATTTAACCCCTTAAGGACCAAACTTCTGAAATAAAAGGGAATCATGACATGTGTCCTTAAGGGGTAAATCTGCTATTCGAGTGCCTTATAGTCTTTCTCAATCCCTCTGCAGCAAAGTAATACCGTATATACTCGAGTATAAGCCGACCCGAATATAAGCCGAGGCCCCTAATTTTACCACAAAAAAACTGGGAAAACTTATTGACTCGAGTATAAGCCTAGGGTACAGTGTGTGTATAGAATGAATGCAGAGTGTGTGTTTGTGTGTATATAATGAATGCAGAGTGTGTGTTTGTGTGTATATAATGAATGCAGAGTGTGTGTTTGTGTGTGTGTATATATATAATGAATGCAGTGTGTGTTTGTGTGGTGTGTGTGTATCTAATGCAGTGTGTGTGTACTGGATGAGGGGAGGGTATTTTTATTTTAATTTTTTTATTTTAATATTAGATTATTTTAATTTTTTTATTTTAATATTAGATTATTTTAATATTATTATAATTATTTTAATATTTGCATAATTTTTTTTTTAAATGGTTTTTTGTCCCCCCTCCCTGCTTGTTGCCTGGTCAGGGAGGGGGGACAAATTTTTTTTAAATCTGACTCTACCTTAATCTGACTCTTGTGACGTGGATATGGCAGATGCCATCCTCCCAGTCTGTGATTGCAATTCTGTGTAATTGAGATTAGTAGAGTTCTGGGCGGGCAGACGAGTCCACAGTGACATTGCCAGAGGTAGAGTAACAACTATGACATCAGAGGGGTTCATCTTTGTAGTTGTTGTGCTTCATATGGAAATGCTGCACATACAGATTCCGGTCACCATGACCACTTCAAATCACTGAAGTTGTTATGGTGCTAGAAGTAACCCTTGAAATGAGATGTATCTGCACTCTAAATGCAAGGCAGCTAGAAAGTATATTATTCACAGCATTTCTTTAAAAATTCAAAACGAAAAATGAAACCAGGTTTAAATATCTGAAACACATTTATTGCATTTCGCAGAAAATCAGGTTCTGTACATTTCAAAACAGCTTAGAAAAATTACTATTTACAAGATTTACATATATCACAGGAGTGCAAGCCTTAAAGAAAAAACAAAGAACTCGATATTTTTCCTCCCTAAATAAAAAAAAATTAAAATCTATTTTCTTCATTTTAAACATGTATTTCTATGGGATGAATCAGTGCCTAGTCTTGCTAAAAATATGTCAGGGTGTTCACTAAGAATACATTTAGGGGAACTATAGTGCCCGCAATGGCGCCAGTTGGGATTGCAGTCTGTCTCCTGCACGCATTATAGCCGTATCCCTGAGCAGCTCAGAATTGGAATAGTCAGAGGTTTTTGATATGCCAAGAATTAAACCAATTATTCAGTGCAATTAATTAGGGCTCCTGTTTACTGGAGAATGGCCTCTACGCTGCAGCAGGACCACCGCCCTATTTGATACATTGCTTCTGTCTCGGAATGTTTACTGTTATTTTACACCCTGAAAACTTTGTACAAGTTACCATAATACAGCCTGCAGTGGTGGTTATGATGCCAGAAATACCCTGGGGTCCAGCCGTGCACAGAGCCACAATGAATGGAAGCTGAAAGATCTCCAACTATCCATAACTGGTTGGCAATCCTACCGCTCATTCATTGGCAGACAGTTTCATTTGAGGTCTCTAAGCCAATTAATGAGAGACAGTACATAGAATATGCACAGAATTAAAATTGGCCATCCCGGAACGCTCATTCCAGGTTGGCTAATAAAGGCTGCTGGAGGTGGAGTTACACAACTAGAACAACATTAAATATCTCCTTGGTCCACTTCAAGGCACTGAAGTGGTTATAGTTCTTGGAGTAACCATTTAACAACCTGAAGTGGCTGCTTCCCCTGCAACAGATTGAATAGAGAAGTTTGTATTTCCTATCTTAAAGAGATACTGTAGTGCCAGGAATATAAAGCTGTTTTCCTGGCACTACCGATCAGTCTGCCTCCCCCCTCCCTCGCACCCTCCTCCCCAGTAAATAAAGGGTTAAAAACCCTTTATTTACTTACTTACCTTATCCCAGCGCCGATGTCCCTTGGCGCTGGGTCGAAGCTCCACCCCCTTCTCCATCCCGCGACGAGCGGGGTCTAATACACATGCGCGGCAAATGCAGAGTGTGATGACGTCCAGTGTCAGATAACGGACCAAAAGTCCGTTACGATTCCGGAAGTGCCCCCAGTGGAAGACAGCCACCAAGGGCAGACTTAGAGCTGCAATGAGCTTTAGTGGTCTGGTTGCCTATAATGTCCCTTAAAGCGATTCTTACAGAACACCGGACTTGTCCCTGTACAAGATACAGAGTTTTATATATATTTTTAAAGTTGTTATAAATAAAAATGTTTATATATATATATATATATATATATATATATATATATATATATATTTAAAAAAAAAAGTTTCAGTGCTTTACGATCAATATAGGAAATCTATTACTTCAGATAGCCTTTAGTGCCATTTCTGAACTGGGTGGGGATCATTTGATTGCTATTCCCCTCCACCTCTCTTTAAGAGGACATTGCAGGAAGCCTTCATGTTTGGATCATCCAAAAAGTTCAATGTGCCACTTTTCGCGATCTTGCATTGAAACAATGACCATAAGGTTATTTAACCCTGTAACGGTTTTGGTGGAGATTTTTTTCTTCTTTGTGAATTAGAACTTGCCAAACTGAAGTTCAATAAAACTGCTAAATGTTTCTATCAAAATGACCATCCTTTGATAAGTGTCCTTCTTGGTGTATTTTGGCTCAGGTCTACTCAGTTCCAATGTGGCTTCTCATGGGGAAAAGATGGACTTGATAAACACAATGAGTTCTCTTGCTCCATGTCTCCAGATACTTTCTTTGGATCACGATCGAAATCCTGATGATGGGTATTAAAGTCCATTCCATACTCCTCCTCATCTTCTTCTTCTTCAGAGTCCGAGTTGTCGTTGTAGAAATGAATGGTGGCCTGAACTGGAAAATTGGCTAACACCTTCTTCCCCATGTTTTCTATATATTCGTTAGTTTTGGACTTGGGCATGTACAGCCTTAAAGTTAAAAGAAGAGGATGTCACTATAGATAGTAATTCAATATTCTACTCCGTATACATTTTAAAAAGAACATCAAGAAAGAACACCCATCATTTAAAATGTGCTATCATCTAAACATGAAAAGGTATATTTTTATAGGGAATACACTCTCACCTATACATTGGTTTAGTAAATAGTCAATATTTTAAAGAGATAAACCATCCCTCCAGTGAAGGGGGGAAACAGGGCATTTTACAATTAGTTAATAAAAGAAGACAAGGCTACTCGTGGTTGCACATAATGGGTGCCTAGAGCAAGGGCGTACTAATAAAATATTATGAGAGAGCCTGTATATATATCAGGATAAGCAGGTGCACTTATAGAGTTTGATATATCCTTTTTATAAGGACATTCTATTAGTCCATAAATCAGATAGCACAGCTTTTAATGCAACAATAAAAGCACAGATTTCTGCTATTGAGTAGCATGTAAAGAGCTTAAAAGTATTCATTCAACTAAGGGAAAGAAACTTACCGTACAGGATGCTGAAAGCCATGGGCACCTTTTGAGCCAATATGTCCATCATGAGACTCTGATTTCTTTAACTGTAAGAAAAAATCCAAATTAAGAAAAATGTATTATCTTCCATTCATTTGCTACATAGAGTATTGGTTGATAATATCGGATGCTGATTAAATACTAAGTTACTGATAAAAAAAAAAAAAGTAAAAAAAAAAAAAGCAGAATTGATTATACATATATAAACGTTTCAGGACTATCTGTACAGAACATGCATCATGGCTTATTATGGACAAAATGCATTTCAGAACTGGCTGCAGTAACTCTAACATGATCTCTATCCTTACGAAATCCATTTTCAGGAATGCCTTAGTTCTGGCAATAAATGCCAATTTAGGAAAGAGGGGGAATACGTGAAATATTTTGCCTTGTTCCAGTCTAGGTTTAAGGGATCATAACTTACCAGCCTTCTCTGTCTGTCTCCAGCAGAGAATACCCACGGTCTCCATAGGTCGGGGCTGCTGGAAAAGAAAATAAAGTTTTGAATCAGTGAGAAGTCCACCCTTTACCCCAGTTCCATACAGTGCATTGTTACTGCAACACCAAAACAAAGACATTTACACAGGATTCCATTCCTAAAATCACCATCTGGAATAGTTCTTCAAGGTTAGGAGTACATAGGATAAGAGTACCCATAACTCCAAAGTCTTTTAGCATAGAACATGCTCTTCACGTCTTTCTATCACTCTCATTGCCAGATGAGGCCTTCCAAGAGTGTTTGGGGTTACCGTGGCAATGCCCTGATATATTTCTTGAGGGGAAGAAACTTTAATTTAGATTTTGTTTTTAATTAAAAAAAATTTTAGATCCCCCCCCATACAGTCCCTCAGCCTGTATCCGCCCACTATCACCCCTTTACTCCATTACAGCCACTACTCCTCACTATTGACCCTGTCCCACCACTATAGCCACACAAAAGCATCTATCCCTCCTCTGCTACTTCTATCCCCCCACTACTGCCACTATCCTGCCACTTTAGGGACTATTCCCCACCCACTGTAGCTTCTATTCCCCTACTACAGTCACTATCCCCCCCATCATCCCCACCCCAGTCTCTATCCCCCAACTACAACCCCTACTATAGTCCATATCCACCTACCATTACCCATATCCCCCCTACTATAGCCCCTATCACACCCACCACAGCCCCTATACCCCACAGTTCAGCACCTTTCTCCCACTCAACATACACACACAGCCCTTATTCCCGCTTAAACATATACTACAGCCCCAATTTCCCCACATACACTCTGCAGATCCAAATCTCTTCCCAAACACACTATATGCCCCATATGCACCTTACTGCCCCCTATCCCTCCATATACTCCCTATTGTCCCTATCCCCCAAAACACACTCTGAGTTCAACACACACACACACACAACCAGCATCATTCCCACCACAACCTCACAAGCAGCCCTCCCCCACACAACTCCAGAAGAAGCATCACCAGAAACAAACACCACAAGTGGCTTACCATCACAGATGCAACACATCACACAGCACCCACCCACAGACCCACCATTCAATCATGCCCCAAACTAGTAGCATTAACCCACACACATATATCGGGGGAGGGGGAGGGTTCATTGAGGAAACTGGCCTTGGGGCAGCTAGGAGAGTAAGTCCGACCCTGACAACAATGTTACAATGATCAGAAGACCTGTTCTTTTTGTAACTGCGTGAAACACTTACACATGAACTCTGCATGCCTTGTGTATCCACGTGTTGTGTGATTGTATATCGGTTATAATATCAGATTTTTAACCTCTATACAGCACAAGTTCTAACGGTTTTAAGGCCTGTATGAAACCACCTCAGATGAAACAAAATGGGAATTAAGTAAGATTAAATGGCCATTTCAGTGTTAGCCAGCCCCTATGTCAATGTATCCCAATACTGGCAAGTCCCAACATAACTTAATCTACTAAACTATATTACTTACATTGAAACAAAATCTTTTCTACATTAAAAGGTATCAAGATATTCCTGGATTTTATGGTTGCCTAAGCATGCTTTGACAATTTATTCGCTTTAAATCCCCATATTTTTTCCCATCTGAGAAAAAACATGAAAAAAAAAATTTTTAAATAAATCTGTGTTTAGTATCTGGATATATTTCTATGAATTCACTATTGTAGAAACCCGCTGTTATAATGCACACACACACATATATCTCTCTCTGATGGACTGCTTATTAAGACGTGAGTGCCTTATAATATTTACATGCACACGATTGCTTCATATAAAAGTATATCAGTTTCTGTACATTTTTTTTCCTTTATGTATTAAGAATGCCTTTTAGTAGCATGGATTAAATCCATTTTTTTTTCTGATCAGATAAAGAACATTTGAAATGCCATTTCTTCTGTGTTAAAACTACTCAACACATTTAAAATCCCGGAGAACACACCATACATTTATTTTATTGTATTACACTAATTCAAGAATCATCTGTCAATTCAAATAATTTACATGAAAAATTCTAAAATTATGTGTGCACTCACTCTACTTTTATATAGCTGAAATTTATATAAAATGATATATAAAAAAGTGGGACCAGAGACTTAGTTAATGTATAATAAGAAATAATTTATACATCTAAAAAAAAATATAAAAAAAAAATTGGGAAAACAGTTTTTTTTAATGATTCTAGTGAATTTGTAAAACATTAACCAGGTTGGTGTCAAATAGAAAAGCAGGCCATTCTATGAAGTGTTCCTTAGCAGCAGCAAAGCAAATAAATCTTTTTCTAACCCTCCTTAGCAAAGAGTTTCTTTATGTGCTCCAAGGACAGAGATTTATTTTTTTGTAAAGGAAATATTTAAACTATTGCATTTTTCAAAAAGACATTTCCACAAAGCTTTCAAACAGATCTATTTATTCAAACACCCTACTGCTCCCTTAATAAATGCAGTAAGTCAGTATCAGTGCATAAAGCCCATTATTGGCCATATCTGAGAGGTGTAATATTAATTATTATTTGCACAACACCTGCTACTTTCAAACATATTTTATTACACTTCAAAGCAACGGGTGCCACAGCCTCACATTACATACACCTCTCTGAACTGTGCTCCACTTTACCCCGAGGGGAACAAGATACATGTTTCTAAACAGTCTAGAATTTTGAATAAAAGTTAAAAAAATTAAAATAATATATATATATATATATATATATATATATATATATATATATATATATATATATATATATATATATATACACATGCATATTTTTTTTAACTTTTATTCAAAATTATAGAAATATATATATATATATATACACACACACACACACACACACACACACACACACACACACACACTGTACACAATTTATGCTGCTTTCATTACAGATGTTTATTATATGCTTGGGAGAATAAAACATTGCTGTGCAAAAACTATGATGGTAAAAAGTCTCTAAATTAGCAGATTTACAATGAAATGACGCTAGTGCACTTTCAGTGACGCTAAAATGCTAAATCACACCCTCATCAACAACAGATATTTACTGAGCGTGTAGAAATGGATAAAATACCTTGACCAAAGAGCTTACACTCAACATTTCAACAAGCACTACGATGGATCCACGACTTACTCAGTGGATATGGAGCTGGGAATCAATAACTTTTCCAAAGAGCTTGCAGTTAGCAGAGACAGCTGCTTCTGTCACCGTGCTTTGACCCTTGCTTACCTGTCTGGCTGTCCAGGATGCTGAGTGTTTATGCTGCTGGTGGCCCCCCTGGGGCAGGGGTACATGTGACAGAGGGCTGCCTTGAGTTTGCAGTGGACAGAATCCATTGTGTAGGCTGGATGAGCTCTGACTGGCAGTCACTGTGAGAAAGGCAGCTCCTTTATCTAAGCAGCCCTAGAGCAAACACAACTTCAGGTATAAGGGGGAGTGCACAATCCCAGAGAGACCACCTCCAGCACTCCAGGACACCTGAAAAGAAGGGAGGGCTAGACACCTGCTAGAAACCATAGATACATGGAGCCCTGAGTAATGTGTTAATGTATCCAGTGATATAATAACAGAACCAACACAGTTATTGTCAGAATGGAAGGCAATAAATAAAAAAAATTAAAAAATAAGTCTTGGAGTTGATAGGATTAGGAAAGTTTTTCAGTCAGAAAAGATTTTGTTTGGAATCACTGGGTATACATTTCCCAACCACTCTATAAATGAGTCTCTGGCTGGCTGTGCATGATAGGAGTTGTAGATCACAGTCTATGGCGATCCAGTCTGGATGGTGCCAGTGAAATTCATACATACAGGAGCCCACTGCCCTCTTATTTTTGTTCTCCTAAAATGGTTTGTCATTTCTTGTTTTTATACTCCCTCTGCAGAACATTTAAAGCACAATAATAATTAATGTGAATAATATAAAAAGCATAAAAAAAGAAAAAGATACTTTGATCTTAAATCTGGAATTCACCTTTAATTCTCACTGATAGTAACTAGCCCTCTTACTAAAGGCACTTCAGGAATACATCTGGTGAAATCTCCTGAAGATGCCCTTTCGACCTTTGGCCTTTACTTATTTGCAATAAAAAGCAGCAACAACATTTGTGTGGGCTCTCCTCCTGTGCGCCACAACAAAATAAACATAAGAAACATGTTAGGTGACTAAGAGATCTCCACAACATGATAGCGGAGTGCTACACTATTTAGTCAACCTACCCCTATCTGTATAGGGTAAATATTTCCATGTACAATATGAAAAAGAAAAAACATAATACTGTATAAACACCCAAAGCTGTGCAGAAAATGGGAGTAGAACCACTCACATTTAATGGAGCCTGATATAATAGCCCTGGTTTCTGTGCCTTTTAAGGTGGCACTCCACATCCTAAAAACTTTAAAACATAGTTGTCCAGGGAATAGAGCAGAAAATAAAGTCAAATCGAGTGTGTAGTAGTCTCTGGTTTAATAAAACTCTTGCACTTATACCCAAGCACAGTGCTCACCGATTTATAGGGAGCCTATAATATTTCCCGGCTCTAGGTAATTCCAGCATTGTATTTATATACTATATGGCATTGCCCCTTTTTTATATAACTGAGCCAGGAACAGGATATATATTCAAGATTCCAATAGGTAATATACCCACAGCATTATTTCTGCAATATCTATATATTAAATATTCAATCAATTGGGAATTCTTTATTTGATAATGTCAATCAGATTTGCACTTGGATCATCAACCCACTTGCATGTTAATTAAATAATTGAATTTTATGTTGAATATAAAAATAAAAACATGCAGGCCATTTAAAAAAAATATTTACAGAATTGGACAAGATGACCTCTTTAGGGGTTATTGTTCTTACTGTAAAGAATCCTTTTCTCTGCTGTAAGTGAAAACGCCTTTATTCCACTCTCAATGTCTGTTGTATATTCTTGCTAATGAACAGGTTAGCACACAGTGGTTTGTACTGACCCTGTATATATTTGTATAGTGCTATCATATCTCCTCTGAGGTGCCTTGTTTCTAAACAAAACAAGTTGTTCTAGCCTTTCTTCATAACTAATGTTTTCCATCCCCCTTACTATTTCTGTAGCGCACCTCTGCACCTTTACTATTGTGCAATATCGTTTTTTAAAACTGAGGCCCAAAATTACACTGCCTATTCAATTTGGGGTTTTACCATTGATTTAAAAAAAAAAAAAAAGGCAAAATGATATATTGTGAATCAATAAGCCTTTCTATACATGCCAGCACCTTACTACCTTTTGCAATGGCAGACCGGCATTGCATACTGTTGCCTAATTTGTTATCTACATTTGTTCTCAAGTACTTTTCATTTAATGAAATCCCTAAATGGCTTGTGGGTTTCTTATTCTAAAATGTGTGACTTTTTATTTATATTTATTGAATGTCATCTGTAACTTGCCTGCCCAGACCTCCAGTTTATCAAAATCCTTCACAGCTGCATCTATAGGACTATTCTTATGAAAAAAGAAATAGGACGCAAAAACAATTGCAGAAAAAGCACATGCAGTAGTAACATGTCACGTGATGGGAGTGCTCCTTCACTCCCATCACATATATCGGATGCATATATCGGATGCACAAAAAGAATATTCATTTATAATTGTCCAACAAAACAAATATTGTCAGGGGCTCGCTTGGCTCAGACCTGGTGGGCTGGGTGGTATCGTTCATCTCATTTCTCCTCTGCTCGCCAAGCCCATCTTTTCTCCAGATAGCTAAAGAAATACTCAGTATTAAAAAACAAACGAACAAATATGACATTAAACATACATGCTATGTGACAATGACCAACTACAGAGCAGTTTATATAAAAAAATAAAAAGCCTTGAGTCTGGACCACATGACCAGCTACTATAATCTGTATTCTCTCTATAATTATATAATTTAAGAAAAACATGCTTTTCTAAACCTAATTGTTCTCCTTTACATAGCAGAACAAAGGTTTCCAGGTACGGAAGACTGGTTCAAAGACACCATTTGTGGTAGGATTTTGACTAGACAAGGAATTATATTCGGGAAAAGGAGACACAGCTGCGCCTATAGGTTAAGGACAATGAGGACTGCTTATACAAAGAGATGGATTTTACACTTTACTGTTTGAAATGAAAGCAGTCTGCTTACTGAATGCGCGTATACCAGAAATAAATACATCTTAATTTTTTTATTTTTAAAGACCGAAGTACAGCATTATTGTATCGCAGTATGTAGTGATATTTTATTACGATTTAGTGACAATGCAGAATTATTGCAATGATCCATCCTTACACACTGTCATACATTAACCCCTTAAGGACCAAACGTCTGGAATAAAAGGGAATCATGACATGTCACACATGTCATGTGTCCTTAAAGGACCACTCTAGGCACCCAGACCACTTCAGCTTAATGAAGTGGTCTGGGTGCCTGGTCCAACTAGGGTTAACCCATTTTTTTATAAACATAGCAGTTTCAGAGAAACTACTATGTTTATAAATGGGTTAAGCCTTCCCCCAAAGCCTCTAGCGGCTGTCTCATTGACAGCCGCTAGAGGCGCTTGCGTGATTCTCACTGTGAAAATCACAGTGAGAGCACGCAAGCGTCCATAGGAAAGCACTGACAAATGCTTTCCTATGCGACCGGCTGAATGCGCGCGCAGCTCTTGCCGCGCGTGCGCATTCAGCCGACGGGGAGGAACGGTGGAGGATCGGAGGCAGAGAGCTCCCCGCCCAGCGCTGGAAAAAGGTAAGTTTTACCCCTTTTTCCCTTTCCAGAGCCGGGCGGGAGGGGGTCCCTGAGGGTGGGGGCACCCTCAGGGCACTATAGTGCCAGGAAAACGAGTATAGTGGTCCTTTAAGGGGTTAAACTATAATATATCTGCACAAAATACAACTGTTTGACTAATTTGATGCTGGAGCATGTAACTCTGTGAAATAGTAAACGCCACCCAGATTAACATTTCAACTCCAGTCTGCTGGGTCCCTTTAAATCAATACTCCAAACACCATAACCACTACATTGCACTGTAGTGGCTATTGTGTCACACGTGCCTGGTGCCCCTCTACGTGCCTGGTGCCCCTCAAACTTGATGATCTCAGCCAATCCAATGCTTTCCCATAGGAAAGCATTGGGTGGCTATTGTGCATGTGTGGCAAACAGTTGTGCGGCCCAACAGCATCTCCATGGGCAGCGTTAAGCGCCTTAATGCAGACCAAATCTAATACATTGCCCCCTTCCCCCCATTCTAATACACTGCCCACAAATCCAATACATTGCCTCCAAATCTAATGCATGGTCTGCCCTCCCTCCCTCCACTCTTATACACTGTCCCTTAATCTAACACACTGCCCCTCCTCCCAGTGCTCTAATTTAATAAACTGCCTCTTCCCTTCACCAATTTAATAAATTGCCCGCCTTCCCCAATTTAATACACTGCCCTCCGCCCAATTTAACAAACTGCCCCCCAACACTCTAATACACTGCCCCCACTCCCACCCGAATTCAATACACTGTCCTCCTACCTCCCCCAAATGAATACACTGCCCCCCAATTTAATACACTGGCTCCCTCCCTCCCCCAATGTAATACAGTGCCCCCTCCCTAAAATTATTACACTGCCCACTCCCCCCCAATTTAATACACTGCCCCTCCCTCAAACTAATACAATGCCCCCCAAATTTAACACACTACACAGGAAGGTCCCCTAAGCCCCTCTTCCCCTACCTTAAAGATGAGCCACCTGTCCTCCAGTTCCAGCCCTGCTCTTTTATGCTCAAACAGGCCAAATGCTCCTCTGGCACTGCAGGCAGGAGGGAAGGGGGAGTGGCTGGCTTGCAGATACACGCGATCGGCCATGGGAGGTTAGACAAGAATCAGACAGAATATATCTTTCATGTCTTCCGCTGGTTGCAGCCACAACACAAAGTGGTCCTAGGGCAGGTGGGCCGCAAATACATCCATTTAGGCTGCATGCGCCCATGGGCAGCAGGTTTGACATACTTGATTTAGACAATAATGCATGGATCTAATGGTATTGTCATCTGGAGATGTTGTGATACAATATTATCTGTTTCTTGCCATAATTGTTTAACTCTAGGCAATGCCACCACAGAATAAAAACATCTGGATCTGCATTGTTTCTAAAAAATATACAATATAGGTGCAGTATACGTAAGAAAATTATAAATATAGAAATAAAATTAAAAATAAGAGCAGCTACACACATCCACTAGCGACTATAGATGAGTATAAGCTCAAAAGTTAAATAAAGTGTGTGCGCTCTTTACTCATAAAACATTAAGAAAATATAAACCAATCAATAAATCAATAATTTATTCTAAAAAAAAAAAATATTGTGATAGAATAAATACCAAATAACGAGGATAAAAAACACAGGTGATCTAGACCTGCTGAGATG